CTGAACTAGGTCCCATTGTAATCTGAGATAACCTTCTTCATTGTCCACTATACCGCCTATTTTGGTGTCATCTGCAAACTTACTAACCATACCTCCTATATTCACATCCACATCATTTATTATAATGACAAAAAGCAGTGGACCCAGCACAGATCCTTGTGACACACCGCTTGTCACAGACCTCCAGTCTGAAAAACAATCATCCACCACCACCCTCTGTTTCCTATCCTTGAGCCAATTTTGTAACCAGATCGCTAGTTCTCCCTGGATTCCATGTGATCAAATTTTGTATTTTACCGTATGTTTGAAAATCTTCAAATGTATGTTATATGTAATTAGTTTGGTTTACTCTATTTTAGTTTTACTTCTCTTGTCTAATAAACTTCTGTGTAGTTGTGAAAACCAAATTTGCAGTATTGCGAGCTTGTGTTTCAGTGAAAGACCTTGTTAAAACCAAAACTATGCTTTATCAAGCTGGATTTCAGTCTGAGGCCAGACATGTCCAGTGATAACGTCAACTGGAATCATAATACTGCCCAAATATCTGTGTCTTAGTTGAGAATGAATGAATGTGTATTTGGATTTTTAAAGGGGTATAAGTTTAAGTCACTTACTAGTAGATTAGAAATCCTTTCTTTTCGCTGCTATTTGTTAGAATAGAAGAAGAATTTATTGTCGTGTGTACTTTTACATGAAAAATACAGAGAGAAGTTTCATAAGTCGCCCCCACCACAATACCTACATCAATGATAGAAGTCATAATTTAAAAAAATTAAGACAAAATACATCACAGTTCAGTTAACGGCTCCTGGGGTCAGGAAAGCCAATTTAGGAATGATGGAATTCCCTGAAGACACAGCTGGGATGAGGCCGCCACTTCTGGAATTCTGGGCCAGAAACTTCCGCCGAAGAAGACTGCCATGCCAGGCCGACACTGCCACTCCTGGACGAGACTACCTGCTGGTCAGCTGGAATGCCTGGACAAGACCTCCACATGCTGGGACCAGACCGCCACACAAGGGAGACTGACACGCAGGGAGACTGCAATACCGGGCTAGGACCGCCTTTCTCCTCCATCAGGCACCCGGGCCTTGCTGCTGACCTGCAGCCTCGGCCTAGCCTGCGAGTCCATGCCTAGCGAGTCAGCCTGGGACCTATTCCTCGCTCACGTGAAGACCCTGGCCAAGGGTGGAGCCATTTACAGCTCGTCCTGGTGTTGCTGCTGTTAACGTCGGGGGCTGAAACTAATGAGTGAGTCTAACTCCGACAGTCACGTGAATCTCTTGCTGCCTGAGCAGGGTTCTACCATCTGGAGAGCTAGTGCCAAAATTGGGAGAGTTGACTCATAGACTAGTCAAACAATAGCCAAACAGCCACATTTATTGAATGATAATTTACTGACAAATTCTGTTAATAATTAATTCTGGTACATTAATTAGAGTTATTTCCTGTTAATGACAAAACCTGGTATGAATTGTTTTTGGCCTGAACAGCAATCAGTTAGGCAAATTGGTAATTTTGTTGGTCTATTAAGATTTTATGATGGCTTGTGGAACCTTGCTGTCATAAAAGTGCAAATTTTAACAATGTAAAATCTAGAGGATTTCATTTTATTATTATGAAAATCCCTGTTCTGATTTAACTGAACGAGTAGTAGTTGAAGGGAAGGAAGACTCTCCTAAATTGATTCTATAATTCTTATTACCATTGTGAAATGATATTTGTTGCACAATGTTTTGAAACTTTCAATTGATGTCCATCAACTCATATCCTACTTACTAAATGCTCTACACGGCTGTACTGAGTTGTTGGGACTATGCTCATTTTCTTTAATCTCTCTCTGTGTATCTCTCTCTCTTTCTAGAAGTATTAGGATGAGCAAAGGAGAAAGAGAATTCATAGAAAAAAACTCAAAACATTTGATGTAAAAAAGGGAGAACTGCATCAGCATTTATTTTGATGTAATAGCAAACTGTAACCACATGGTGGCAGGAACAAACCATAATTGAGCTCAGTTAATACTTCAATTGTAGTCCTGGTGTGGAGATGCTGGTTTTGGACTGGGGTGGACAAAATCAGAAGTGACACCGCACCAGGTTGTAGTCCAATAGGTTTATTTGAAAACAGAAGCTTTCAGAGCCCCTTCATTGCAATTATGCTTAACACATTAATAAACTACCTTAGTTATGCAAGTCAAGTGCCTCATCTGTCTTGACACACCAGTGGTGCTGTGCTTCAGCAGTGTAGTGTGAAGAGAAATGGAGGTTTACCTAACTCAGTCTAGATTGGAAACTAATTTTACACTAATTAATGGGAAACTGGAAACAGTAAAAATGTAAAATACTTACTGGGGAAGCTTCTACAGTATAGTGGTAATCATATTTGCCCAATATGCAAAAGAGCCTGTGTGTGGAACTGGGCAGAAACATTAGTCTCACCTGTGGTCTCTCCTCTCCCATAGATAATTAGACAGGCCCCAGACTAAGCACAGAATAAAGAAAGGATTGGTGGCAGTGAGACATCCAAAGCAGGATGCCACATGCTGGCAGCGCGAGTATCTGAAAATAAAACATTTATGGATGGGACTTTGAGCAAAATTGGAATATTAAAGTCAGGGGCTAACCAAGGGATGGGTAAGGGTTTCAGACAGGCTGAGACAGAAACGAAAATGGGTGATAGTACGTCAGTGGGGGCAGGCACTATAGACTATAACATTAGAAACTGAGCTGATGGTCAGATAGGATTGTGAACAGACTGTGACTAAAGACAGGGGTTGAATCAAAGGTGAGGGAATGTAGTTTGAGTATTGCTGAAAAGGGAGGCATGTCCTGATGAGTACAAGATAAGAAGTGATCAGCAACAAGTTTCCCTTTTCAGCAATACTCGAGTTGTACACTGCCAGGCAAGTGTTTGGAATGGAGTTTATGATGGAATGAGCCATCAACAAAAGGTTTGGCTGTCAGACAACAGCAGGCCAGTCCCCCTTCTGAACTCATGGCTACCTGAAGTCTAGAACCTTCCATTGGTCTAGATGGAACTTTGAAAGCGAACCAACACTTCCCTGGTCTGTGTGGTTCAGATTGTCAGGAGAACTGCTTTTATAACAGTCGGCAGTGGATACATAGTCACAGCAGTGACTGTAAACCACCACCTCCTTCATAGCGTCTCCTTGTTTGTAAAATTTCCAAATTTCAGAATATCCAAGAAATTCAGCTGTAACAATCTTTTCACTTCTTGGGACCCAACATTCAGTTTATATGGTTCTTCCACTATTTCCAGGTCAGGATGGTGTGTCAGTTGGTTAGCGGTGGTGGTGGTCATGGTAGTGGTGGTGGTGGAGGGGGTGGAACTTGCAACTGGTGGTATGCTCATGCGTCTGGTGCCCTTGTCCTTCTAGATGTCAAAGGTCACGAGTTTAGAAGATGCTATGGACGGAACCTTAGTGAATAGCTGCAATGCATCTTGGGATGGTAAACACTGCTGCTACTGTGCTTCAGAGGTAGTGGAAGTGCATGCTTAAGTGGGGAAATGGGTGTTCATTAAGTAGGTTGATTTGTCCCAGATGGTGTTGAGCTTTTTTTGAATTCTCTTGGCAATTCAAAGTCATTGCCTGCACTTAAAAGTTACATATTATTCAATAAACAATGAATTATCCAACAATTTGGCTTAAGCAACATCAGTAAAATAGCAAAGATAATTCATTTTTTGGAAGCACTGCCCCCAGATTATTTTAATTATGCAGCTTTACATTAAGAATATCATTTCCTTCTTTTGGTTTAGTTCCTTGATAGGATCATATTACTGTAAACTTATCCTTCATTTGAAAAGACGATTGACGTATGAAGCACATAATTTTCAATTTCCTTCTGCCGCTTTCCTTTCCAGAACACAACTGCTGTCTTTTTAGTATTTGTTTCGAGATTATAAAATTAAAACTGAAAGTTACTTCCTTCAGTGGTCACCTGCTTTTAAAGTTTCAAGTTAATGGTCCATTTGAGGGAGAACGCAGTTTTGATTCAAAACTGAGAACATATTCCTAAGGATGAAACTAAACTGAAATGACCACTTCATTCCAGTTCATTTGGACTGCAGGTATTTTACCAAAAAACTGAGCAAATCTTACAGAAATCACAGGGATACAGACTCAATGGACATTTTGTGTCTCATTGGACAGAGTTATAGAGTGGGATATGGACTCTGGAGCATGAGAGGGAACAGCACTAAGCTGTCCAAATTAATTTATGCTAAAAAAAACAAAGACAAACAAGTTGCATTTAAATCCAGATCTTGTGTAGCAACTTGTGGTGATTCATGCTTTTAAAAAAAACCTTTTTGTTGGGATATGGGCATCACCAGCAAGGCTAGTGCCTTTTCCCAGTTGCCCTCAAACTAAGTAGCTTGGAAGGCCCTTTCAGAGGTCAGTTAAGAGTCAAGCCTATTGCTGTGAGTCTGGAGTTATATGTAGACCAGACCAGATAGGGATGGCAGATTTCCTTTCCTAAAGGACATTAGAGAACCAGATGGATTTTTACGACAATCAAAACCATAAGAAATAGGAACAAGAATTTGGCCTCTGGAGCCTGCTCATAATTTCAGTAGGATCACGGATGATCTGACATTACACACATCCACTTTCCTGCCTTTTCCCCATAAACCTTAATTCACCTATTGACCAAAAATCTACCTCAGCCTTAAATAGGCACAAGGACTCTGTCCCCACTGCTCTCTGTTCCAAAGATTCTCAACCGTCTAAGAGAAAAAATTCCTCCATAACTCAATCTTAAATTGGCACCCCTTTATTCTGAGACTGTGCCTTCTGGTCCTAGACTCTCCCATGAGGGGAAATATCCTCTTGCCATTTACCCTGTGAAGCCCTTTAAGAATCCTGTATGTTTCAAAGAGATCACCTCTCATTCATCTAACTCCAGCGAGTAGCGTGCCAACCTGTTTAACCTTTGCTCATAAGATCATTCTAGTGAACAGTAGCTTCATGGTCTTGAGACTTTCAATTCCAGATTTTTATTTATTTGAATGTAAATCCACTGTCAGTCATGGGGGATTCGAACCCGTGTCCCCAGAGCACTAATGTGGACCAGTATCACAGAGACATTATCATCATCAGCCTCAAAGTCATAAGGAATCTCTTCCTTTACACAAGCACTGGCTGATTAATATTAATAATTAATAAAAACATTAATAACCACACGCTTGATTCAGATGGCACACCTTCAGCAAAATTTAGATCATTAGATACTTTTTTTTTGCTATAAATCCTTACAATCGAAAAATTAGCTTGCCGGAGAATCAAAACAGATTTACAGATCATGTAACAAGGTTAGACACAAAGATAAATAACAAGTACACTTTTATGTGCATATAATGTGAGATAAAGAGTCAAACATTTTCATGATTCAAAAAAAATTCCTTCATTCCAAGTAAATTGCACAAAATCGAACGTTTTGAATTGTGTGTGTGTGCGTGGGGGTGCTGTTATTCCCCTATTGATGGGTGAGGTTAGAAGTTCTCATAGTGATGGTTAAATTGGACCTTACTCCGCTTGTTCATGTCCTTGCAGGCCTTTTCCACATTTGTAGTCATACCAGGAGGTCCACAACTGAAGACCCCAATCTTCATAACCTGATCAAACAAACAAGACATTATTTCACTCCAGATCAGATTTCATACCTCTCTCACTAACCGCAGGCAGAGTTCAAAAAGATTGACATTCTTTCTCTCAATGCATTCTTTTATTGTGACATTTTGTTCCTGTTTTATCCACAGTATCTAGTATTTGTCTGAACTTTCCTGTTTTGATTTCACAAGCTCCAAAAACAAACTTTACAAGAGCATTGCTGACAAACCAGAATGTGTCAATATTGTCATTCTGCATTCATCAGGACAGATGCAAGAAAGCCAAATTTCACATGGATCAACAATTCATACTACATGAGAAACAGGTGCTGATTGATCAGCAAGTGAGCTCTGATTTGTCCAGGTGTTGCTATGGTGAATGCAACAGGGGACTGTTGTCTTCATTGTAAAATAACTGTGTGACATAAATTTTTACTTCCTTAGAAAGTTGGTATTCTTGTATCTGTCCTGGTGTGTGCCAGACCAACAGTTTCAATAGCTTTACTTCTTCATGGCCAGGCAGCTATTTATATAACCTACATGCTTTTGCTCCCGGCTGCATTTTCATTCTAATAGGGAGGCAAATATAGAAATGCTCAGGTACAAAAATTCATGTTGCTAGTGTATTGGATTCCTAGCACTGCCCTGTTCCTGGGTTATTTTCCTGAGGCTGGGAAGGAGAAAGCACACACAGATAATCTTGTTTTTTTCTGATGTCGACTGAGAGATAAATATTGGTCAAGAAATATGTATTGGAAAAAAGGCTACAGGATTTTTAACATCCACCTCAGCTGACAGATGGGGCCTCAGTAAACATCTCATCAGAAAGGCACCACCGATACTGCAGTCCTTCCTCAGTAAAACATAGGAATGTCAGCCCTGATTTTTGTGCTCAAACCTTGGAATGGGACTCCTAACACAAATGCAAGAATTCCACCTCTGAGCCATGGCTGACATTCTCAATAACATGCAAGGTCGCAGAAAATAGGGGCAATTTCTGAGGCATTAGTCACATCTTCTCAATTTGGGAGCATACCTAACACTGGAACAAATTTATAAGCCCAGATAAGAACTCCCCTCTCAAGACTGTCACAACCCATCAATTTACAAAGGCATAATGTGCCTCACAATGAAGATCAAATGGCTCCCTTATGCCAGCACTCACCTCTGTGTGCACCTCCATCAGAGAATGGAAGAAAGGGACAAATTGGGGACGTCCAAAGTGGGTGACGGAGCGAAGTCCAGTGAACAAGCTGCGGTTTGACACTTTCTGGAAGTGACGTTCGCAAATGTACTAAAGCAAGAAACAGAAAATGAAATGTTCTGTGAGGTCAGAAGGAGCGCCCAGTGGCCTCGAACTTCCAGTCAGTGGTGATGCTGGGTACCTGTGCTCATGAAATTCCTAACCAATAGTAACAATATTGTGCATCTCTCCAGGGATCCTCTGATCCCAGCTGATGGAGAAACAGGTGGTGCAGCATCTCCTGGGCAAGTCCAGTAAGCAGGATCGAGTCAGGGGAGGGAGATGAGACTTCCCCTGCTGCCCTTACAGCAGTAGCTGCCTTATTAATGTATTGTTTTAAAGTTCTGAGTCTGTGAATGAATGAGTGTGAGTGAGTAGGTTATCTAAGAGTGCAATGGCATCTTGATCAATTGGGCCAATGGGCCAAGGAGTGGCAGATGAAGTTAAATTTAGATTAATGTGAGGTGTTGCATTTTGGTAAGATAAATAAGGGGAAGACTTAAACAGTTAATGGTAGGGCCCTGGGGAGTATTGTCAAACAGAGAGACCTAAGGGTCCAGGTGCATAGTTCCTTGAAAGTTGCATCAGAGGTAGACAGGGTGGTAAAGAAGGCATTTGGCATGCTTTCCTTCATACTCAGATGTTTGAGTATAGCAGTTGGGACTTCATGTTGAAGTCGTACAGGATGTTGGTGAGGCTACTTTTGGAGTACTGTGTCCAGCTCTGGTTGCCCTGCCGCAGGAAGGATATTATTAAATTGGAGAGGGTGCAGAAAGGATCTACCAGGATGTTAGTAGGACCAGAGGGTTTGAGTTATAAGAAGAGGCTGGATATGCTGAGACTTTTTTCACTGGCGTGTAGGAGTTTGAGGGGTGACCTTATAGAGGTTTAGAAAATCATGAGAGGCATAGGTAAGGTGAATAGCAAAGGTCTTTTCCCCAGGGTCGGGGAGTTCAAAACTAGAGGGCACATTTTTAAGGTGAGGAGAAAGACTTAAAAGGGACCTGAGGGACGACCTTTTCACACAGAGGGGGTTCATGTGTGAAAGGAACTGCCAGAGGAAGTGGTAGATGCAGCTACAGTTACAACATTTAAAAGAAATTTGGACAGGTACATGATAGGAAAGGTTTACAGGGATATGAGTCAAAAACAGACAAATGAGACTAGTTTAGTTTGGGAAATCTGGTCGGCACGGACTGGTTAGAGCGAAGGGTCTGTTTCTGTGCTGTATGACTCTATGAATCTATGAGTGAACGAGTGAGTGGATGAGTGGGTGAATGAGTGAATAGGTAGGTGGGTGGTTTGGCTGGTTGGTAGGTGTGGGTCAGAGGGTGACAAGGTGGAGTGTCAATGGCTTTAGTTAGGGGTTAGTTGGGGAGTCAGGTTAGTGGGTGGGCAGTTAGCGGTATAGTTGGTTGGGGCTGGGCCAGAGGGTAAGACAAATAGTTGGGCTGTAATCCAGTAGAAGTTGAATGGAGTTGAAAGGGTACTTGGGTCTAGTTGGGGGGTATTCGAGGGAGGGGTGTAGTTAGGTGAACGGGTGAGGAAGAGTGTCAGTTGTGATGTTACTCAGCCATTAGACCAGACTGTAAACCTCCAAACATTCCCAGGATAAATCCCGTGTATCTGGTCTGTATGTTTGCCCTGGGTTCAGGGTTGGTGTCACTTTTGCAGGGTCACAATCCAGCCTGTTGGTAGTTTAAATATCCCAGGGAATTCCCTGTCAAAGCACCGGGACAACCATAGGGTCCTGATCAGGGCCAGGGTTGGAAATGACAGACCCCTGTGCTGCTTCCAGCACAGACCTCCAGCTCTGCTCGCCAACCCAAAGCCCTCCAGCTCTACTCGCCAACCCAAAGCCCAGCAGCCCCTGCCCTGGACCAATGTGTAGGTGACCTACTCCTTGGGCCCTGAGGTACTACACAGTCCCACACTCTGGTGTCATCTCTGATGATTAGGAGATGGGAGAATGAAGGCCAATAAATCACTGGTTAACTTAGTGCTGTCTAGGCTTTATATAAATCGAGGCTCCAGTGTTTGCTTACGAGCATGGTGGTCCTCAGGTCAAATTTCTCCGCCAGCTGTGTGATGTAGATATGGACTGTCACCAGGGAATTTTTATCAGCTTCTTCAACTTCACGGATGATGTCCGCCAGCCACTCAAACTGCCTCTGTGTCCGAGTCACCCAGATGAAGTAGATCTGTCACCAGGGAGTTTTAAAGAGGAATTAGAGCAAAGCAAAACATAGGAACATGGGAACTGTGAGCTAGAGTAGGCTGCTTGACCCTTCAAGCCTCACTATTTAATGCCATCATGGCTGACCATCCAACTCAGTCCCCTGTTCCGACTTTCTCCCCACACCCCTTCATCCCTTTAGCCCTAAGAACCAAACCTAATTCCTATATCTAATTGTCCCCATTAGCAGCTATTCATTCTCCCAAGCTGATCATTATCCACTAGTTTGACTGTCCAACTGTTCTTCTCTCTGTTTGGGCTCTATCTCCACCTGTCGTTTCCTCCTTATCCCCTCCCCTTACCCAATCTTCTGCATAATAACAACTTTTTCCTAACTACTACCAGTTCTGAAGCAGGGTCACTGGACCTGACACGTTAACTCTGACTTCTATCCACAGATGCTGCCAGACCCGCTGACTTTTTTCAACAGTTTCCGTTTTCGGTTCTGATTTCCAGCATCAAACAGTTCTCTCAGTTTTTATACCTATCTCCTTCTAGAAAACATTCAAAGTTTTGGCCACAAGCACTTTCTGTGGCAGAGAATTCCACAGGTTCACCACTCTCTGGGTGAAGATATTATTCTTAATTCCTCCTTACGAGAAGCCATGCAATGTGTAAATGTGGGAAACATGGTATTAGCAGAGTACCTCCAAGTGAAGGGAAGCTTAATCCTTATCCTAAAATCCTGGATTTTTAACACTGTTGCAAAAAAATGCTCTCTGAGTGTTGCTAAGGACGAAGTTCCCAGCTTCTGGTCACCACCAGGCTGTCTCACCTGCTAACAGGAAATTACATGGGGTTGTCATTATTTTGCTGTCCTTAAATGAAAAGACTGACATTCTTGGGCAGCAATGGAGCTTTCACTGGGTAGCCAGATATATATTTGAAAAGGAAGAATTGCACAACTGTGGGAAAGAGTGGCTGATATTCAGACAGAGGGAAGTTTCAGCCCTTTTGTTTTGCAAAATTGGAATCTTTGGCCACCACTAAGGACACAAAATGAAGAAAGAGGAATGTCCAAAGATGTAGAGGTTAGGTTGGATTTGACGGGCTAAATTGCCTCTTAGTGTCCAAGGATATGAAGATTAGGTGGATTTGACAGGCTAAATTGCCCCATAGTGTTCAGAGATGTGCAGGTTCGGTGGACTGGACAGGCTAAATTGCCCTGTAGTGGCCAGAGATGTACAGGTTAGGTAGATTAAGTAGGCTAAATTTGCCGAACTGTCCAGTGATGTGTAGGTTAGGTGGATTGGAGAGGTTAAATTGCCCTGTAGTGTCCAGTGATGTGCAGGTTAGGCCAGGGTAAATGTGAATTACGGGGACAGCGTAGGAGGTTAGGTCTGGCTGGGATTCTCTTTGGAGGGTCAGTGCAGACTCAGTTGGCTGAATGGCCTTTTCTGCACTGTAGGGTTTCTATGATTCTAAGTGCAGATTTCAAAACCAATATCAGATCTTGAATAAAGCCTCCTCAAGTTATTAAATGAGAAAGCAGTGTGAAGATTGCAGCTTTGCACCATGCTCCAGGAAAAGGAGTTCCCTTCTATTATCATAACATGATTACAGCTTGGCTGATCGGAATGCACTGTAAATTTTTAGAATAAGGAAAATGACATTGAATTGTCAGTAGATGGGCAAGATTAATGTTCTGCAGATATCATACCACAAAGTGCCTGAGGAATTATCTGCATGAAACTTTTAATTAGAGTAAAATTAGTCACTGAACTTGAAAATAGTTTCCAGATGAATAATGTGATAGAACATTATGTGAACTATCACGGAAGTAGCTAAATATTGCAAAGAATTCAAATAAATTATAAAATATATTCCTTCCTTGTTTTCTGAAAGCATGCATAATATGATACATCCTTGAGGAATGTGAGAACAAACTCAGATGAGCTCTGGATTACAAAATTAAATACAAAGACAGCACTGAGATTTGGCACCCCTAATTATTATATCAACACTATACTCATCCTTTGTTCCTTGACTGAGTGCACTGTTGGTGTGAGACTGAGACAAAGGCCAGAAGGCTAATGTTAACTGATTTCAGCTACTACAGCATTTCTCTTTCTCCAGCCAACCACTAATTATCCTGGAGAAGACGTAGTGAGCCACACTGTTAAACACAACGGAGTGAGCTAATGAGGACATCTCTGGGAGTAGTCAACCGTCACACACAGGCCAAATCAGGTATGGACAGCACATTTCCCACCCTAAAGGACTTTGGTGAATTCTGCGTTATTTGGCAATAGTGCGGGAGTTTCCGGATCGCCATTCCTCCCTTTGTATAATTAACACAAATTTAAAATTTCCCAAATGACATGGTAGGATTTGAACTAACAGTTCTGGCCGCTGGAGTGTTACCCTAGCAACATAACTACAACATCATCATATCACAACAACTGACCTCAATGCTTCTGGATTAAAGGAAGGCAACGGAACAAGCTGCCCATTTAACACGCTCCTAAGAGCTGTCTGTGTTTCTAAGTTTGAGGATCTTGCATAAATGTGCAACAGGATGTGTTTGTTATGGCCTGTCTGGCCAAATAGTGGTTGACACACTCTCTCTTCTCAGGCATACACATGATCGCCAATTGCCAGGACCAATGGAACAGTGGACCGATAAATGTCATGTGAGAAAGGAGGAAATCTGCAATAGGGACGCCTGCTGTTCTTATTCAAAGGCTGTGTCATGTTTAAAAATGAATCAGGACACATTCAGGCCAGCTTACCTTCTTACATAATATTTTGCTGTTGGTGGTTGACTTGAAGACAAGGTCTTTGAGGATAGATGCAAATGGTGTCACACCAATCCCTCCTCCTACCAGAACAGACACCTCGAACTTGTTCCATTCTTGGTGGCCCTCACCAAATGGCCCATCCAGGTAGATCTAAGGGGAAAGAAAAAAAAGTCTGTTTCAAGCTTGGTCTTAGATACAGTGTTATAGTTAAACTCGTGATATGTATGCTCTTAGGAACTTTGCTGTTTAAGTGGGATACTGCTTTTAGTATGACCTAAAATTTGGATGTCTGTATTAATGGCTGTTTATGTGGCTCAATTCAAATGTTGTTCAGTAACACGTCTGTGAAACATTTTGCTACATTAAAGGTGCTATATAAATATACTGTGGAAAATAATTTGACTGTACGTAATAGCTACATAGATGCCGGTATCCTGTCACCAAGCCCCCTTTTATTTACACGTGTACAGTACACTGGCGGTATCCAGCCAGCTCGGAGTGAGTCCCTGAAGTGAGGAGATTCTGAATCCCCTGTTATTATCTGTCAGCTAAGGCTCCCTGATTGGCATGGGACAACAACCCCAATCAAGGGTCTTATAGTCAATAAGATCCACCTGGTTCCACTCAATATACTACGATGAATTGAAATTAGTGTTTTCCTTCTGTACTCACTTGCCATCTTCCAGTCTCAATATATTCATAATAGCTGCAGTGAGATGTCCAGTTGCATTATGATACAACTCTCTTCACTTACATTCCCCAGTTGCCCTTGCTATAGAAATGCTGGGTTTTCAGGAATGCATTTGCAATGCCATAACATACAGCGAGCATAAGAACTCTTTCCCCAACCCCCTGCAAAGTGGTAAAGACGAGCACTCCTGAAGCCCTCCAGAGCTATGGTCACTTAAATCCCATCGTTAATACAAATGATTAAATTGTCTATTCTGAGGAATGGTCACTGGACCCATAATGTTAACTCTGATTTCTCTCCACAGATGCTGCCACACCTACTGAGCTTTTCCAGCAATTTCTGCTTTTGTTTCTGATTTCCAGCATCTGCAGTTCTATTGGTTCTGACTAAATTGTCTGCCCCATGGTCAGGTTTTCACACCATTTCCATTTCACATGGCAATTTTAATTCAAAGGGTGTTAGCAGAGAACTTTCTGTTAAGTATCTGTAAAGTAAACCATTCAGAGATGTTACTACACACCTCTGGAGCAGGTGCGGTTTGAACCTGGCCCTCTCGGTCCAGAGGTAGGAACACCACCACAGTACTACAAGAAGGCCCAGAACTTTCATTTAGATGTTTTATAATCAACCTATTCAGAGATGTTATTACACACCTCTGGAGCAGGTGGGACTCGAACAGAGATCTCCTGGCCTACAGGTAGGAACACTACCACCACATCATAAAAGGCCCCAGAACTTTCTTTTGTTCCTTCAAGGAAATGGACATCACCTACAAGGTCCGCATTCATTGCCCACCCATAACTGATCTGAAGAAGGTAAAGGTGAGCCATCTGTTTGATTGTTTGCAGCCCATCCGGGAGAGGTATTCCCAGAGTACTATTAGAGAGGGAATTCCAGGATTTTGACCCAGTGAAAGTGAAGGAATGGTGATATTGTTCCAAGGCAGCATCGTGTGTGGTTTGAAAGGAGACTTGGAGGGAGATGATGTTTCCTTGTATCTGCCACCTTCTAGGTGGAAGAGATCCTTGGAAGGTGCTACTGAAGCAGGCTTGCCAAGTTTCTTGTAGACAAAACACACTGCTGTGATGTCATTGAGAGAATGAACGTTTAAGGAGGTGGATGGAGTGCTGATCAAATATGCTATTTTGTGCTGGATGATGTCAAAATCCTTGACTGATATTGGAGCGTCAATCAGGCAAGTGAATAATATTCCACCACATTCTTTTGTGATATTGACTGAGATATAAATATTGGTGATGACATTGAAGAGCTCATCCCTGCTGTTCTTTGATAGAGTACCATGGGATTCTCCACATTTACCTAAGAGGGTAAATGGGGCCTCTGCTTTTAACAGTCCTCCTGAGAAACAGAACCTCTGACAGTACAGCAACCCCTCACAGTAACAGCCTTGATTTTTACATCAAATCCTGAGCTTGAATGGGACACAGAATCTCATTATTCAGAAGTTACTAACTGAGCTACAGCTGATAGCAAAGATGTCAATGACAGACCACAGTTGTGTTATTAGCTGGAAAATAATGAATAGTTTCCTGACTACCTTTATGTATAACCTGGTTAAAGAGAGGAACAAAATAATTTTTATTTAGTCTTGGCAGGTCTCTATCCCATTAAAAATCTCATGCATGACAACAGGGGCTATAGCCGATGACCCATCAGCTTATTCACATTTACAGGTTGTCTGTAAACACATGCTGAAACTTCCATCGCTTGTTAATAGTGGGCGATTAATGTGCTAAGTTGTTGGAGAAAAGGCCTAAAGGTTGTGCTGGAGCTGTAAACAAACTTATTTATGCATGAAATCACTGACATTCCACAAAACTCTACTGTCAGAGAAATGTCGAATGAGATTTTTAAAAATATATTTGCTTGTGGGTGGGGGTTACTGGCTGGACCAGTATTTATTGCCCATCATTAGTTACCCTTGAGAAGATGGTGATGAACTGCCTGCTTGAACTGATGCAGTAGGTATGCCCACAATGCCTCAAGGGAAGGAATTCCAAGATTTTGACCCAGTGACAGTGATATGTTTTGCGGTCAGGATGATGAGTGACTTGCAGGTGGTGGCATTCCATGCATCAATCGCCCTTATAATTCTAGATGGAAGTGGCCACGGGTTTAGAAGGTGTTGTTTAAGGATCTTTGGTGAATTTCTGCAGTGCATCTTGTAGACAATACACACTGTTGCTACTGAGTGTCAGTGGTGGAGGGAGTGAATGCTTCATAGATCATAATCATGGATCATAGAATCCCTACAGTGTGGAAACAGGCCCTTCGGCCCAACAAGTCCACACTGACCCAACCCCTACAACCCACCTAATCTACACATCCCTGAACACCATGGGCAATTTAGCATGGCCAATCCACCTAACCTGCACATCTTTGGACTATGGGCGGAAACCGGAGCACCCGGAGGAAACCCACACAGACACGGGGAGAATGTGCAAACTCCACACAGACAGTCACCCGAGGGTGGAATCAAACCCGGGTCCCTGACACTGTGAGGCAGCAGTGCTAACCACTGAGCCACCGTGCCACCCCCTAGCCAGATGCTTATGGATGTGGTGCCAATAAAGCAGTCTGCTTTGTCTTGGATAATGTCAAACCTCTGAGCGTTGTTGGAGCTTCATCCATCCAGGAAAATGAGGAGTATTCCATCGCCCTGAGCCTTGTCGATGGTGGGCAGGCTTTGGAATGTCAGGAGAGTCCCTGTGGTGTTGTAAATGGATCAATTCCACTTGTAAGTGGAAACAGTTTATATATGGCTGCTGCTTAAAGTTATGTCACTCAACCTGGTAACCCAGTAATGGATAATTGTGTTATTCCTTGTTAACACTAAGTAAATTGAAGATAAAACAATACCTGTTGGAGTATACAGAAAAAGTAAGATAGTGACACTTAAAGAACCAGCACATATATCTTGGGTCAAATAACCTGCTCCTGTGCTCATTTTACATACAGGTGGGAAGGAGCTTCAAGGAAACAGGGGTGGCTTGGTGATACAGTGGTTAGCACTGCTGCCTGGGTTAGCACCAGGGACCTGGGTTCAATTCTAGCCTCAGGCAACTGTCTGAGTGGAGTTTGCACATTCTCCCTGTGTGTGGGTTTCCACTGGGTGCTCTGGTTTCTTCCCACAGTCCAAAGATGTGCAGGTTAGGTGGATTGGCCATGCTAAATTACCCATAGTGTTCAGGAATGTGTAACTTAGGTGGATTAATCACTACAATTATTCATATTGAGCTATTGGTTAACAGGCAGCCTGCGTAGAGAAAACAGATTAAAAGTGCGACAGTGAAGGAACTTAGGAACAGGAGTAGGCCATTCAACCCCTCGAGCCTGTTCCACCATTCAATGAGATCATGGCTTATCTGTGACCTAACTCCATATACCTGCCATATCCCTTACTAACTTTGCTTAACAAAAATCTACCCATCTATCATAGATTTAATCTTAACAACTAAACCAGCATCCGCTGCCATTTGTGGAACAGAGTTCCAAACATCTACCACCCTTTGCATGTAGAATTGCTGCCCTAAGGAAGTGACATCAAACACAACAAGAAGTCATCGATTGTTGCAATGATGCCACTTAACATTGCTCACAGAGATAATGACAAGCTGGTAAAATTACATTTATTGCTGACAGAAATCTCTACAGTCTCCTTACCTTTGGGTATCTACCGAGAAGCGATATATTTTCCGGAGAGTAGATTTCCCGTAATCGAATTGTCCATGGTCCTACTGCCCGGATGTGAAGGCTGAGGGTGTCTTCATGCGGCGCTGAAGTCAGGGTGAAAGGATGGTACTCATTCGTTCCCAAAACAAGGCTTGCAATACGTACCCACTGACCAGACTTATATTCAAAATCTTTCGGACGTTTAAATTCAAGATTAGTGACCCCTAGAATGAAAAGTATAATGGGTTATTCGCCAGAGTCATTTGGTAAGACAAACCAGGGCAGGACTTACACAGTTAATGGTAGGGCCCTGGAGAGTGTTGTCAAACAGAGAGACCGAGGGGTGCGGGTACATAGTTCCTTGAAAGTGGCATCACAGGTAACCAGGGCGGTGAAAAAGATGTTTGGCACACTTGCCTTCATTGGTCAGAGCATTGAGTATAAGAGTTGGGACGTCATGTTACCGCTGCACGGGACATTGATAAAGTCACATTTTGAGCACTGTGTACAATCCTGGTCACCCTGCTATAGGAAGGATGTTATTAAACTGGAAAAAGTGCAAAAACAATTTACAAGGATGTTACCGAGACTGGAAGGTTTGAGGAGAGGCTGGATAGGCTGGGACTTTGTTCCCTGGATTGTAGGAGGCTGAGGAGTGACCTTTTAGAGGTTTATAAAATCGTGACGGACATAGATAGGGTGAATAGCCAAGGTCTTTTCCCCAGGGTAGGGGAGTCCCAAACTAGAGGGCATAGGTTTCAGGTGAGAGGGGGAAGATTTAAAAGGGAACTGAGGGGCAAGTTTTTCACACAGAAAAAGTGTGGTGCATGTATGGCTGCCAGAAGAAGGAGTAGACAAGTACATGGATAGGAAAGGTTTAGAGAGATATGGGCCAAACACAGGCAAATGGTAATAGTTCAGTTTAGGAAACCTGGTCTGCATGGATGAGTTGGGCCGAAGTGCCTGTTTCTGTGCTGTATGACTCTACGAAAGGCCGCATCTTTTCAGTAGCAGGCTTCTGTGGTCGATGAAAAATTTGGTGTAAATGTAATTCTGATGCCTCAAACCAGTGCCTTGGTTGACAAACTCTCACTCAGAGACTTCATAGGCCAGTGGGAATGGTGAGTGTATATTCTCAATGCCTCAAGGGAAGGCATTCCAATATTTTGACGCAGTGGCAGTGATATATTTTGAAGTCAGGATGATGAGTGACTTGGAAGGGAACTTGCAGGTGGTGGCGTTCCATGTATCAACTGCCCTTATCCTTCTAGATGGAAGTGGCCATGGGTTTGGAAGGTGTTGTGTAAGGATCTTTGGTGAATTTCTGCAGTGCATCTTGTAGACAATGCACACTGTTGCTACTTAGCATCAGTGGTGGAGGGATTGAATGCTTCATAGATCATAAAATCCCTACAGTGTGGAAACATGCCCTTCGGCCCAACAAGTCCACACTGACCCAACCCCCTACAACCCATCTAATCTCCACATCCCTGAACACTAGGGGCAATTTAGCATGGCCAATCCACCTAGCCTGCACATCTTTGGACTGTGGGAGGAAACCAGAGCAGACACAGGGAGAAAGTGCCAACTCCACACAGACAGTCACCCGAGGGTGGAATTGAACCTGGGTCCCTGATGCTGTGAGGCAGCTAACCACTGAGCCACCGTGCCACCCCCTAGCCAGATGCTTGTGGATGTGGTGCCAATAAAGCGGGCTGCTTTGTCCTGGATAATGTCAAACCTCTGAGCATTGTTGAAGCTTCATCTATCCAGGCAAATGAGAAGTATTCCATCACACTCCTGATCTGAGCCTTATAGATGGTGGGCAGGCTTTGGAATGTCAGGAGGTGAGTTACTCACTGCAGTATTCCTAACATCTGACCTGCTCTTAGAGTCTCTATGGTGTTGTAAATGGATCAATTCCACTTATGAATGGCAAGTGTAAATGGGAAGTGATGCTGTTTGAGAGGTTCTTTGGAGGTTGCTGCAGGTCACAGGGAGCTTCAGTCTACATCCAACAGTGTCTCCACTGGACCAGGTTGTCTATGATCCATTCACTGACGTTTGGTTTTCACTGCAGCTTTGGGCTCACAGCCACCCCTATTTGCGGTCCTGAGCTCAAACTCACTAAGAGTGAGATTGCTCAGCAATACTTCCAGAGCTGGCTGTCTAGATCTTGCTGAGTAATAATGGGCCATCCTCAACCCTAATGCCTCCTCTAACTCTGACCCTCCTGGTGCCTCAAATTCAAGTAGACATTGCATGGCTCAAGAAAGAGATGCCTTTGGTTTGTTTGGATAGGGTCAAACTCCAATGTTTGTTTCCTTGATATGCCACTGTACAGGACCAAACAGCATTTATTACTATGTATATATATAAACATTATCTATATAATATATATAATATAAAGATATTTTTTACGAATGGAATATATTTTGAAATTTAAAAAAAAGTTTCTTGTAGCTCTTGGCAGCCCCACCAGATGGCATGGACCCTCAGAGATGGGGAGAACGGGGTCGGTGGGGGGTCACTCAAAATGGAGGTGGTCTCAGAGAAAACAAATTGCCCGTTCACGTCTTTGCAGAAATAAAACAGTCATCGGCCTGCAGTGTTAACTCTTTCTTTCTTCACAGTTGCTGCACTTGCTGTATTTTTTTCTTTAGAATTCATTCACAGGATGTGGGCTAGGCCAGCATTTATTGCGCATCCTTAATGGCCCAGAGGGCAGTTAAAAGTCAACTCAAAAAAAAACCCAAAGAACTGAAGATGCTGGAAATCAGAAACAAGAACAGAAGTTGCTGGGAAAAACTCAGCAGGCCTGGCAGCATCTGTGGAGAGAAAGTAGAGTTAACATTTCCGGTCTAGTGACCCTTCTGCAGAACTGATTGTAGATGGGTGTAAGAGTTAAATACATTGCTGTGGGGTTGAAGTCACATGTGGGCCAGACCAGGTAAGGTGGTCAGTTTCCTTCCTGAATGACCTGACTGCGACATTCACTGCCCTGCATAGATCTCTGAGGTTTGCACAGCCAGAAATAAAATCAGAGGGAATGCTACTTACAAGTGACAGCTTGGGGATTGCCTGAAACACCCCTGCAGGATGGCAGCACTGCCAGGTACAAAAGAGGAAACACTGGCCCAAGGGCTTGAACCCACAATCTTCTGACTCGAGCTGAGCTGTCCTGACATGTTTAATCGATTTAATTGATGGCAGCATGATACCGAGTTAAAGAAAGCCAGTAAAATGTACGAGTCGGATTCCTTCATCATATCGACCTGAAACAGAAGCCTTACCTGATGGCAGAAGCTCAGCTTTGACGACTGGAATCTCAATCTTCTTCCTGCTGTAGCTTATGAACTTGTCTCCAACAAAGATGAGGGTGGGGATGATGAAATACACGTGGAATCGTTGTGGCTGAAGAAGAGCAGCACTGCCGTGTAAAAGGATCTGTTTCAAAAAGACACAGATGTGTCTGCTTCTAAGGTTAGTTTTATTTCTTTCATCCTATTTACATTTTCACATTCTTGGCCAGTACCCTCTTTCATCTCTAACTTCCGATGTCACTTTCTCTCTCACTCGTTCTCTCCCCAGCACCATATGCCTTCTTTCTTTAGGTTGGTGCAACAATAGAGATCTAACTTTTGTCCTATCGTTTCCCCTAAGCTTTAAGTACATCACCTTCCTCCTTGTAGTGCTATAGTTGAGAAATATTAAACATTCTTTCTCACACTGTCAAACCTTCAAAATGCATCACCGTGTTCCTCTTGCAACCAACAGACTGTAAAAAGCCCGAGCTCAATATCACACATTCAGTACTTCTTGATTTATCTCTCATTGCTCCCAATCTTTCTAAGCTTGCCTATATAAAGAAGCAGAAACTACAATTTATGAAGACAAAAAGATTTCTGCACTAATATGGCCGGCAATTTGATTGGTGTCCACAATGTCTAGTGACATATTTTAGCAGGAGATTACTATCCAATTTAGATAAATTCTCCCAACAATGCCTCTGCTGCATTCTCTGGGAGGACCATCGAACAAATTCTAATGTCCTCCTTGAAGCCAGCTCCACAAACATTCAGGTAAAACTCCAGTAAAAACAACTAAGATGGACTGGGCACTCTGATGGATGGCTGAAAAGTGTCTACCCTGCTAGGTTCTGCTTTCTTGACTCTCAAATGGTCAGCATATCAAGGGAGGACAAAGAATTTGTTGCCAAGTCACCCTGAAGGTCTCCTTGAAGTGTGTTGGCATTGATATTAATGACTGGGAGGATGGCTAGCAATTGCCCATAGCAATACTCTTCGAGTCTAGTGGTGCAATGGATAGCATCTCTGCCTCTGATTCCCAGGTCTGAGTACTACCTTAGGACTTGATGGCTAAGAAAGACAGATTCACAACAAAGCCAAAAGATGTTGAATGCCAATTCTTTCAACCCACCAGTGGCAGGCAGAAAGATCAAGACCAATTCCTGTATAGGTGATAAAAACCAAAAGAACTGCGGATGCTGTAAATCAGGAACAAAAACAAAGTTGCTGGAAAAGCTCAGCAGGTCTGGCAGCATCTGTGGAGGAGAAAACAGACTTAACGTTTCGGGTCTGGTGACCCTTCCTCATGTTCTGAGGAAAGGTCACCAGACCCGAAACGTTAACTCTGTTTTCTCCTGTATAGGTGGCTGGTGGGAAGGAACTTGGAGCCTCTACCGTCACTATCCGTAGGTCCGGACCACGTAAAAGTGTATGCTACCACCACAACTCAGACTCCATGGGTGAACTCCAACACTTTACCACACCTCTGCAATGTACCAATATGATCTGAAGTGTCTCAACCACACTATGGTCAGAAAAATTATCTCTGTAAGTGTTATGGGCCGCCAACTCTTAAAATACCTGCTCACAATTCTGTGAAAAATGCCTGAAACTCTTTGCCTTATTCAACATTTTGCTTGTGCTCTCATTAATTTTCATCTAGCACTGTTAACGTTCTTCACACCTATTGTTTAGATTATACTGCAGTTATGGACTAATTCCTTAGATACTACAAACAAGGTGATGTAATTAAATGTCAGAGGAGGGTTGTTGTTTGTAATCCTGAGTGCCAGGGCCACTATAAATAAACCATTAGACCATGAACTTTTGACTGCAGCTTCAGTAAGTACTTGGACTGTTGCCTGCAACTTTGGAAAGTTTTTGGTTGACTGAGTCATCCTTTTTGTTTGTTTCCAGCTCACAAACCATGGCTTGGAAGTGAACACCAGTCGCACTGAAATATGAGTAGTTTAATAGCCACCAATTGATACCAATCCAATAAAAAAACACCTATTACTGGGAGCTGAAAAGGTGATTGGGAAGAAATTTGCAAGCTATATGGATTTTTGTCACATGCATGCACATTAACTTTTGTCCAGTAAATAACGACTGGAAAGAAAAAAGCCAGATTTTGCTGGTTGGTAAAATCATAGAAGGGGAATCAACTTCCTTCCCAACTGTTACAAGAAGGGTCTCAGGGCAACTTACAGAATGGTAAAACAAGGTTCCTCACCGGATCTGGAGGGTATTTAAAGACATATTTTATTGATCCATAAAATCTAGGAAAGTTGTAGGTTTAATTGGAAGTCTAAATTAATTATTCTCATTTGAAGCACTGCAGTGGGTGTCAATAGCTGTGGATCTGGAGAAAATTGCTCAGAGTTCCTCTCCTTGCAAGCCGGGTCACTGCTTGTTGTGCATGCATTCCTTCAAGCCTGAAGTGGTGGCTTAGGACATCTAACTTTCTGGTCTAACTAGAAAAGTTTTGTTGAATAAACAATATGCACTTTATTGTACTACTGCATCTGTTTACAGATGACATTAATATGATCCTCATTATTTCAGACTTTGTCGTGAAGCTCTTTCTGTGAGATGTACAGTACTCCGTGATTTTCGTTTTTATTGCAAATTCTGCTGTGTTACCCACGGCAATGGGTTGGATGACGGGATAAGTTTTTTCTGACCTTATTGTTGATATTTTGGAAGATGTTTTTAGAAAGTATTGCAGGAAAAGAATTTGGATTTCAAGATTCTCCTCATTCTGGATAATGCGCCGAACCTTCCTCTCACCATTGATGAGCTTTCTGAAAACATCAAAGTGCTATTTCTACCCCCAAACACAACCTATCTTCTTCAACCCATGGACCAGGGTGCAATGGCAGCTTTTGAAGCTTATTATTTAAGGCGCACATCTAAGAAGCTGATTGCAGCCACTGAGGGGGATAAGGACAGTGTTCTTCAATTTTGCAAGAGCTTGAACATCAAGAGTGCCATTGACATTATCAATGGAAGCCTGGGGTGATGTCAGTAAGGACTGCTTGCATGCGGTTTGATGGAAGCTTCTCCCAGATTTTTTTCAAGATTTTAAAGGCTTTGATCTGTCAGAGGAGCTCCCAAGAATCAAAGAACATTGTGTTGCTGTTGCAAAGCAAGTTCGATTTGAAGAAGTGGAGAGTGAGGATGTTGAAGACCTGCTTGAGTCTCAATGTGAAGAACTCTCTTACAGCTGATCTACAACAACTTGTCACTGAGGGGGGAAATGGAAGCTGGACATGAAGAAGAAGAAGTCCAGGATGTAGCACGATGAGAGCTTTCCACTTCTGTTTTGTCTTCTATCCTGAGGGAAATTGAGAAGCAGTTGCAGCTCTTAGAGGACAACGATTACAATGCAGAATGCAGCTGGGTAGCAGTTCATGGAATAAGATCTTAATCGGCACCCTATGAACAGCTTCTTCATGAAAGAAGAAAAAGGGCAAAGCAGCAAAAACTGGATATCTTTTTTAAGCTAACCCCCGTGAAACAGTCAGAAGACAATGAACCACAGCCATCCACTTCTGGATTAACTATTTTTCGCCCTAACCCTGCAACTACAACTGCACCTGAAGGTGGTGATGGTGATGTCGACCCTCAGTCCCTGCATTAACAATAGAGCAACGTCAAAACCTCCTCCCCCATCAAGTCATCTTGACATTTTTTCAAGGTAGGTGTTAAATTTACTTTTATTTCATTATTAGGTATGAATTAAACATTTATTCATACTGTGCTATCCATTGTGTTAGGCTTTTAAGTGACTTTTGAGCGATTTTGAGTTACGTTTTTTAGTGACCTGCCCCTAACCCCACTTTTCCCATAGGCCGTGTTATTTCTATAGCACGATTTTCTATAACATGATGTTACGCAGGAACGCAACTATCGCGTTGTAGCAGAACCAACTTGTACAGTGGCTCCCTGATTTACGAATGCTTGTCCTTATAAACACGATTCTATAGAAGAGTGTAATTTTGAAGAGCTAACATACAAATATTTCTCACACTGACAAACAGCTGCTTTACATTATCTTGCATTGTGTTCCAACTTGTGTACTAACAATCTGACTCTGAAATGGAACCCAGGGACTGCCTGTATTGATCCTTTTTGACCCAATGCTGCTTGTGTGGATGTCAGTCGAGAGTGAATAGGGTTGCTTCCCATCCATCACCACTGCAGTCGAATAATTGATCAATATTTGCCTGCAGGGCCCATGCGTGAATACTGGTCCCTGTGCTGAGGCAACAAGGTAACTTCTCGGTAGACCCATGTGTCAGAGAAGGAAAATGAGAAGAGAAAGTGGGCAGGAAAAGTTAAAAAAAAGTCATGAAATTGCAAAGGAGACCTGCTTAAAATAAACAGACATTGAATCAAATTCAATGATAGTACATTTTAAAGATTGGAAAATGGGGATAGACTTTCCTTTTGACCATATGAAAATTTATATGTTCATGATTGAATTGAAAATGTAAGCACTATTCCTATTATTCCGAAATTGTTTTGGTTAACCATTCTCAAAATTTGGATGACATAGGTAAGGTCACATTTATTTTGGTCCTTAACAAACTCTGAGGCAATGGGAGCTTGGCAGCATTTCTTGTGATTGTTTTGTCAACTGGTTGGCATAACCAGATCACTTCAGGGGAAATTTAAGGTTAATAGTGTTGTGTAGCTCTAGAATTAACTGCAGGCCAGTTCAAGCAGAGATAGCAGATCTGCTTCCCTGAGGATTCGAACGAACCAGTAGGCTTCTCTTAATAACACTTTGGATGGGCTTGTATGATCCACTTTTGACACTGAGTTGCAAATGGAAAAAAAAAATGAACTTGTCCTAACCTCTGGGTGGCCCACTCAGTCAGTCCATTACTACATTCGTGAATGGGCACAAATTTCACTGTCACCATCACATGTTCAAACTAATCTAACCTTGGATTCCAATGTGAATATTCATTAGGACCTGTAGACACCATTGCGTAGCCTCCTTACCAAGATGTATATCGCTATGTAGAGATGGTGGGACACCCAGAACGCTCTGAAGCTAATGCGCCGAAAATAATGCAGGGCAAAGATGTGCAAAATTGAGAAGAAAAAGAGGAGAAGCACTCCAGTCATCCCTGAAAAACAAAATAAATTTCATGACTGCCTATTAAAGTTCTGACTGATGGATTACTCCTCAATAATGCATGACTCAGCACTTCTGACAGAGAGTGTCAATTTCTTGTAAATCTATTGGATTTAAGTAGAAGCATTGGCAAACACTAGGTTGAGTAAGGGACTGGGAGCTGAATATTAACTCAAACTACTGGTCAAGATTTCCTCTACTTTTCCCGTGGTCACAAATTCAAAGACTTTTGGTTAGTTACAGCTTAATTTCTAGATGGTGGAGTCTGTAGTTCCAGGCAACCCGTTACAATGCCCATTGTTGATAAATTAGCACTTGCTCTCAGAGGAGATATAGGGTTGACAGTTGGGGTTGTTACTGCTGTGCAAATTGTGTACAGGAGGTGAGAATCGGTGTTTCTGAATCAGATCATAGATGCTCCGTATTTGAGTTCCACTCAAGGACTTGGCGGTCAAGGAAGGTGCATTCATAATGCAGCCAAACAGGCTGCAAATCCTTCCAACACACACCAATGGCAAGAGTAGGAAGACATTGTGGTCAGCCGTATAATCGAAAATATGTTGGAGTTGCTGCTCATAGTTCCAAACAATAACGTGCAAGGAGCCTGAGAGATCTGCAACATACTACAAATCTAAGTGCTGCCCTGAGCTTTAGCTGACTTCTTTTGTTATTCTTTCATGGGATGTGAGCATTACTGGTAGGGCCAATATTTGTTGTCCATTCTTAATTGCCACTGAACTGAACTAGATCAACCATGATCTTATTGAACAGCAGAGCAAGCTCACAGTGCTGATTGGCCTATTCTTAGTTCCCTTTTTGTATGAATGAGAGGAGTTAAGAATCAACCGTATTGGCATGGACCTGGAGCCTGAAGTAGGTTAGACCAGGTAAGGATGGCAGATTTCTTTCCCTAAAGGAGTAAAACAGATGGGATTTTACAACAATCATTGTTAATTATCATGGTCACCATTACTGGGACTATTTCAGATTCATAACTGAATTTGAATTCCACCAGCAGCCATGGTGGGATTTGAACCTGTATGCCTCAGTATCTAGATTACTAGTTCAGTGCCATGTAAGGGAACATGCACATTCAGAAAGTTCCAGGTTCAATCCCTGGCTTGCTTTGAGTTAGCTAGTCTCATCTGAGGTAATTAAAGTTCACATAGCACCCCTGAACAAGGGAGAGTAAGAAAATCACCCGAGGCTTGCAGATCAGATTACTTTGAATGTTAAGTCTATGTTTGTGGACAAGGAGACGACACATTTGGTTCTAATGATCCTCATAGTCAACATGTATTATCTAAGGATGGTCACTTGGACGAAAACCAGTTAACACAACACGTCTTTACATGGTATTGCAAGTCAACTATTTGTACACAAATTTTCCTTTAGAAAAGTTATTCACCCCTTGAGGACGGGGTGCAAGTACCTGTGATATTTTGAAAGAACCACCAGTAAAACTTCAAGGGAATTTCAGACCTGCAGGAAATAAGAGACATCATCAGTTATGAAATGCAGCAAGGTGTTATAACTCCAGTTCCTGGACAAATCAAACTTGAGAATGAAACTTGGTTTGATAGACCGTATCCAGACATTAATTGACACTGCTCAATAATGTACGTGTAAAAATAGGAGCCCAATTGTCTGCTATGGTGGTTGATGAGCATGCAGTATTTACCCTGATACATTCATAAAGCTTCCACCATCAGTCCATGCCTGAATCAGGTGCTACATCCTTGCATTTGCAAATAATACCTGGTTTGAGATCCTGTCCAAAATTGGGCAGCCATTAACACAGTACTCTGGGTAACCAAACCTCCCTGTGGCCAAAGCAGGTGTTCTTCAAAGGAGACCACCACCAAGAAAAAGAAGGAAGTACTGAACTGAATGCAACGTCCTGTTCCTTCTCTCAACACTCTCTCATAAGAACACAAGAAGTAAGAGCAGGAGTAGGCCATCTGGCCCCTTCAGCCTGCTCCATCATTCAATAAGATCATGGCTGATCTCTTCATGGCCTCAGCTCCATTTATCTAGCTGCTAACCATAACCCTTCATTCCTTGACCGTTCAAAAATCTGTCTATCTTTGCCTTAAAAACTTTCAAAGAGGTTGCTGCGTCACTGGGCAGGGAATCCACAGATTCACAACCCTTTGGGTGGAGAAGTTCCTCCTCAATACGGTCCTAAATATGCTTCCCTTTATTTTAAGGCTATGCCCCCAAGTTTTAGTTCCACCCACCAGTGGAAACAACCTTCTTCTTCTATCTTAGCTATTCCCTTCATAATTTTATATGTTTCTATGAGATCCCCCCTCATTCTTCTAAATTCCGATGAAATCTGCCATTCTGTCATGATCTGCCATATATGTGACTCTTCTGCTTCCTAGGATCTGCCTAAAGGGTGCTGTCAAAGCTGCCCAGTACTGATGTCTGCTTCATGTGTGAAATGCCTACAGGAAAGCTCAGTCAATTTCCACAGCTCGCAAGTCTCAATTGAGGAAGGGCCTGAGCTTTTTCTTTCATTCCTTCATGTGGTGTGGGCATTTCTGGCAAGGCCAACACTTGTTGTCTGCCCCAATCGCCCTTGAATTAAACAGTTTGCTTCTCAGTTCAGAGTTAAAAAGCAACTACATTCCTCGTGTGATCTGGAATCTAATATATAGCAGACTGTATCAGAATGGCAGATTTGCTTTCCTTCATTAGGAGGGGCACAGTGGCACAGTGGCTAGCACTGCTGCTTCACAGGGCCAAGGATCCAGGTTTGTTTCCACCCTCGGGCAACTGTCTGTGTGGAGTTTGCACATTCTCCCTGTGTCTGCATGAGTTTCCTCCATGTGTTCCAGTTTCCTTGCACAGTCCAAAGATCTGTGGGTTAGCTGGACTGGCCATGCTAAATTTCCCCATAGTGTCCCGAGATGTGCAGGCTAGGTGGATTAGCCATGGGAAATGTGGGGTTATGGGGGATCGGGTATGGGTGGGGTGCTCTTCAGAGGGTCCAGTGTGGACTTGATGGGCTGAATGGCCTGCTTCCGCACTATAGGGATTCTACGGTATGATTCTAAACAGAATGCATGAAGCAGTGACTTTAATTAAAAATACTGAACTTTTATTATTCTATTTAATTGATTAAGTTTAAAATTCTACTTGCTGCCTTGGCGGTACTCGAACCAGAATATTCGGGATTAGGTTTAGTACAGTCTTAGTCTGCTCAATCTCTCCTCATAAACCAACCCTCTCAATTCATGAATCATTGTAGTGAAAGGAAATCTGCCAACATCTCCCCATTTCAAGCTGAATCAGGCCTTCCATTATACCAGCTTCAGTGGAAGGATTTGTTCCATGCTGAAATAACACTGAAAAAAAAAGTTAACGCTTCTAGAGTCTTTGAAGGAGGCCTGCTTTGGCCACAGTGACATCTGATTATCCAGAGCATGGCTGGCACTGTCCTGAAGATGGGCACTTATCCCGAAAGGTTAACTCTGCTTTCTCTCAACAGATACTGCCAGATTGCCTCAGTTTCTCCAGCAATTCCTGCTTTTATCTCAGAATCCCGACATTCGCTGTTCTTTGTTTCGTTTTATGGAAAAGACGTTATCTGCCCAATAAAACTGCCTACAAATGAATTGCTGCATTCCCTTAAATTTACAACAATGACTGCCTTTTAATGGTGCTTCTCTAGCTGTAGAGGAATTTGGGAGGTCCTGATGAGAGGTCCTATATATTGTGGAGCCTTGACAAGGTAGATGCTGAAACAAAGTTTCTTCATGTGTTAGAACTGAGCAAACCCATTTAAAACTGGAGACAAGGAAGAATTCTTTTGCTTAAAGGGCAATCCATATTTGACAGTCTCTATTATTGAGAGTTGAGGAGATTGTCACTTAATGGATTCAAGGGTGAGGCATCAAAGTGTATTGGTGGGCTCCACATGCTCCTTCTCTAAGGATAGTGGGACACAAATGTAGTTACAGATATATTCCAGATTTTCATTGCTACACTTAAACTCCACCAGGAGCTGTGCTGGGATTTGAACGTACATTTCCAGGATATAGGCCTGGCCCTCTGATTTACTAGTCCATTATTAGTTTTTGTATGCTACTGTGCCCTTTGATAATTCTGTCTACTCCTACATCATACCTCATCCAGTCCCCTTCACGTGTAGCTTCTCCTGAGTTCACAGGCAAAATACCTTGCCTTTTCAGCATTCAGATTTTAAACTAAAGGTTTCACTTCCTTAATTTGACAGTCTGCGGACTGAGACTTTACCAGCCCAAATAATTTGTTGGACTCAAAAAAGGTCAAGTATATTGAATGCCCAACTACTTCAAAAGTAGAGATCTCACCTGGACTTGAATAAATCAATCACATGCCTAATGGATGATTGATTTTTTTCAAAAACAGAATTTAGGGTATCTAAACTGGTCAGATTGTAACAAAGAAGCAACATGAATAAAGATCAATGTAGAGCTACTGCAGGGAAACCTGGACCTATCAGGATACTTCCAGGTTTAGGGATACAGAGAACCTCAAATAATTGACCTTCCTAATGTTGATCTTGCTTTGTGCACCTCCTGTAAATGTGTATTCCTCCCTCTAAGCACCCTATGATCTGGATGTCCTTGTTGGCTATGATACTGCTTACTTTTCACTGTACTTTGGTACATGTGACCATAATAAATCAAATCAAATCAGTATGTGTCAGGGAGTTAAAGTCGACAAGGGAATAAGCCGGAAAGTAGGGTTGAGACTGAAATCTGATCAGCCATGCTCTTGTTGAATGGTGCAACAGGCTTAATTTCCTATGTTCAAAATTCTTTATTATTCAGTAAGAGCCTAACTTACCCATCATCGTAGAGTGCCTCAGGAAATAGGCAGGCTAGTACGCTCAGTGGGTTGGCTGAGAAACTGTAGATATTGACTGCATGAGCCGCACTGTGGAGTACTACAAATAAAAAAAATCAACTAAATATGTTGTGCAATTAACTGCAAGTGAAATCCCAGTTCTACAATGGGTAATCAGTACTGTAGAGTGCTAACCCACAATGTGGGTTAGACATCTACTTCTTGTCATTGCTATAAATTCAAATCATAGAATCCCTACAGTGTGGAAACAGGCCCTTCGGCCCAACAAGTCCACACTGACCCTTGGAGCATCCCACCCAGACCCATTCCCCTATAATCCACCTAACCTATACATCCTTGGACACTATGGGCAATTTAGCATAGCCAATCCACCTAGCCTGCACATCTTTGGACTGTGGGAAGAAACTGGAGCACCAAGAGGAAACCCATGCAGACATGGTGAGAATGTGCAAACTCCACATGGATAGTTGCCCAAGGGTGGAATTGAACCTGGGTCCCTGATGCTGCGAGGCAGCAGTGCTAACCACTGAGCCACCGTGCCACCCAAATATAACACAAATGGATGGGACGGAAGCTTCCACCGCGTTATAGCTATTGTTAATCAGAGAACTCATCAATTTACTGGGACTGCATTTATTACAGAAACTATTTTCGACTCCTGGTTGTAACACACTCAAAATAGAATTATATGGCCAATGCTTAAATCGGCCCACCACAGCTCCAAGTTACGAAACAATTTAACATTCCAGTCAACAATGTGCTTTTTGATGTATAACATGGGAAACTTTGTGCACAGCAAGCTCATCTGTTTCTTTTTAGGCTATTTTCCAGGACACTGGGGATAAATTCGGCCGTACCAAAGGACCATTTATGTCCACCCGAGGAGGCACAGGGAGCCTCAGTTTAATGCTTGATATGAAAGAGAGCATCTCTGACAAACATGCGGTACTGCGGTGGAGGGACTTTTTGGGGTCTGGACCCAGAACCTTGCGGATCAGAGGCGAGAGTGCTGCCTACTGAGCCACAATTGACATGGTTTCTCTGTAGTTCAAGGTGACAGTCAGCGGGGTCTCCGTTCCCTCCCGCATTTTCGCACTCGGTACCTGAGAAAAAGGCAGCAGCCATCGCAACCCAGCGATGGAAATCCACGGCTGAATCAAAGGGAATGTAGTGATTGAGGAATGTTTCGCGTAGGACTGTGATGAGGTTCCGGCACATGGTGAGAAGGATGTACGAATACAAGAAGGAGACTGCAGCTGCTGATCCACGGGCAATAATGAGACCAACTCTTGTGGTCTGGGGCACTCCTGAATGTTCTCTCAACACCGCATAGTCTGAAGATAAAAGGGAGCATTCAACAATATGTCACAAACTTTGCACTTAATTAACAACGGTTCAATACTTGGAGAGTATTCTATCTCTTTACATAATTGCAAACGTAAAGACTCGATTAAGTGATATCCTCAGCAACTAGATAAAGTCTTACCAGACCACAGAGCTCCTCTCTCATTTGAGGGAGGCAAATGGTGGTGGTTTAACCTGAGGGTCACCATGCCTCAGGTGAGGGGAGATGTTGAGAAGGTGAAACCTTCATGGTAGCCTGAGCAGATGACGGAATTGGGCCCATGCTGTTGGTATCACTCTTCATTGCAAACCAGCTGTCCAGCCCTCGCTGGAGTTGTGAATCACTGTCTCATTTAAATTTATAAGAATGAGAGGCAACCTTATTGAAACATATAAGATTCTTAGGGATAACACAGTGCAGAGCTGGAGGAACACAGCAGGCCAAGCAGCAGCAGAGGAGCAGGAAAGCTGACGTTTTTGGTCGGGACCCTTCTTCAGAAATGGGGGAGGGGGAAGGGAGCTCTGAAATAAATAGAGAGAGGAGGGGTAGGCCTGGGGAAGGTAGGTGAGATGGCAATAGAACATAGAACATAGAACATTACAGCGCAGTACAGGCCCTCGATGTTGCGCCAACCTGTGAAACCAATCTGAAGCCCACCGAACCTAAACTATTCCATTATCATCCATATGTTTATCCAATGACCATT